GACCTAAACCAGGGGAAACCGATACAAATCAATAACCGGAAGCATCTTTTCCAAAGATAAGTAAAACCTCTCCCCTCCCTCCAGCGACCAAATACAACCCCTTCACCATGACCTTCGACTACCACGTGCCCTGAAAAAAGGGTATCATCGTGATGTGGAAAATTTGACTGAATACTATCCTAAACCCCCTGCCTCAAGATAGGAAGTAGCATAGGAAGTGGACTGTGCAAGAGGAGATCTTCCGTGTGACTCCTCCTGCACAGTCTACTTCCTATCTTGACGAATTGTTACCGAAATATTGCCATCTGGTTGCGGGAGGTGGTAGGAGTGCGCGTTAAAAGGGAGAAGCGACAATCGAAGAAGTCTCTCCCCAGTTGAACCACCCCTTCTCAGCGGCCAGATATGTCCCCTCGTTGTGATTTCCCCAACAACGATGTGCCCTGGTTCAGAACCATGATGAGGGTTTCTGAGGGTGCGCTTTCAATTTTTAAGTCCACAGATTTTACCTCAAACAAGTATCACTATCCTCACTTTGGTCAGACCTGTAAACTCTTGCGAAGCTCCGTAACTCTCTGAGTGAGCTTCCTCACAAGTTGCGGTTTAGATCTGATCTGTCCGCCCCGGAGATCATGCGTACGGTAGTAGAGCATACAATGCGAATCTACAGTCCATATCTCGCTAATGGGAAGGGCGTGGCTACGTACTTTGTTTGAACGTTACGACAGCTACTCTTCTAGTGGGATCTTGCCGCTTTGTAGCAATTATATTCTTGTGAGAGCAGCACGAGACGAGACATGGAAATATTCCGCGAAAAATCTTACTCATACTCGAACGAACGATACCCGAATGAAGCACGCAGTGAGACCTTTCCATTCCCAGTATATGGAGTTTCTTACAGTCATTAGCTGATAACCTTTTTTAGCCTCAATTTCATCATCCCTACAGTTTTGCATTTCAAGGTCGTTCCACAATAATTGCAGAATTTGCAGGTTGAACGGATACTTACTTCGAATTTCACAATTTTGAATCCGAAGACGAATCGTACCGAATCCTACCGAGAGTTTTGCTTCAGCTTCTGCCAAATCAACGAGCCATTTGTGCAGTTTGTGGTCAGTGCTTCACGAAAGAATCTAAATGTCTTCCTTTGCTTCAATGTCAGATAGTAACCCTTCGAGCAATACCTGATGATTTTTTCCCTGCGTCAAGGGCACCGCGACCAAGTATGACCACTTGAACGCATTTCTGGGGTTTGTGGGGAAAGGCGAACTAAGACTCTTTTTTTCATTTTTTTTCCTATCGGAGGGTCACTCAGCGACTGAAGGTTGTAAACTTCTAGTCGCTGAGTGACCCTCCGATAGGAAAAAAATGAAAAAAAAACATCAAGAACGTCGTAAAAATCCCCCACGAACGGGTTTTCTGCACTCGCTGGTCCTATCCTGATAAAATCGTAAACATTCCGCCTCTGTGCATCGACCGCCTCATAAATCGTTTCATCGCGCTACGCAGTGTTAAATGCCATTCAACACGAGGGAAAAACTAAAAATTGCACAAAAACGAAACTTGTGAAAGCAAAAAGTTTCGGAAAACTCCTTGTGCAAAATGGGGCCACGCTATTTCACGAACTACTGCACCAGTGCCGTTGCGTCGTTGGGGAAATGGATGCAGCTTCAGAAGTCTCACCATGCGAGGTGGATTTTCTATTGCTTGTTCTTAGTTCTCTGTTGAAGGTTCTCTGCTGAAGGGGAAGTATTTCTGACTACGATCGCAAGCACTAAACCACCGACATAGTACCAATCCCAGCGAAGAGCCCATAAAATTTTTCTACGACGCTGCAGGCAACAAAGGCGCGGCAATTAGCCATGCAAGTCGTCCTCGTGTAGGCTGTTATGGTTCATGCAAATTTAAATGCTCGCCCCAGACTCGCTTCTGATGCCCTTATTTTGCACATTCATGTGAAGAAAGTGAGTAGTCCCTGCGGATCCGAGTATCAAATGTGCGGAGCCTTCCAGGCGTCAGCTAAGCCAGAACGGGTCTCTAAGCCAACTGAAGGAAAAATGACTAGGCTTCTTTGATTGCGTAAAACCCCAAAATGCGCGCAAGAGAAGTTACGAGGAGGGGCTGAAATATTCACCGTAATTTTCGGTTCTGAGGGCCATC